GGGGGAGGGAGAGGGGGAGGGAGGGAGAGGGAGAGGGAGTGGGAGAAAGAGGGAGGAAGAGAGAGACAAAGACAGAGAGTGTGAGAGAGGGTGGGAGGGAGATAGAGATAAGGGGAAACAGAGAGAGGGGGAAACAGCGAGGGAGGGAGAGAGACAGGGAGACAGAGAGAAAGACAGAGAGAGAACGAGAGGGTGGGAGGGAGACAGAGAGAGATAGAGAGAAACAGAAGGAGGGATGAGAGCAAGAGAGACAGGGGAGAGAGGCAGGGAGAGACAGGGAGGCGAGACAGTGAGACAGAGAGAGACAGAAAGAGACACAGAGAGAGATAGAGAGAAACAGACAAAGAGAGACAGACAGTGAGGGAAACAGCTCATCACTGCTCCACCGTGAGCAACCCCTACTGCACACCCCGCCCCATACACAGACACACTGCCCTTACACACTCACACACTGCCCTTACACACTCACACACCACCACTTACACACTCACCACCCTTATACACTCATACACTGCCCTTATACACTCACACACTGCCCCTTATATCCTCACACACTGCCCTTACACACTCACACACTGCCCTTATGCACTCACACATCATGCTAACACACTCACACACCACCCCTTGCACCATCCCTTATACACTCAAAATGCCCCATACACATTCACACATTGCCCAAACAAACTCACACACCGCTCACTGCACTCACATATTGTCCTTACACACTCACACACCACCCTTACACACTCACATGTAGTCCTTACACACTCACACATCGTCCTTACACACGCACCTCCTTTGCACACTTGCATACCACCTTTACACGCTCATGCGTTGCCCTTACACACTCACAGATCACCTTTACACGTTCACATATCATCTTCCCACACTCACACACTACCCTTACACTCTCACACACTGCCCTTACACACTCACATGCCGTCTTTACACACACACCTCCCTTGCACACTCACATACCATCCTTACACAGTCACACGCTGCCCTTACACACATGCACACTGCTCTTATACACTCACAGACACATTTACACATTCACAGATCACCCTTACACACTCGCAAACCACTCTTACACACTCACATACCGCCTTATACGCACACTGCAAACCACTCACTACATGCTCACTCACTGTCACGTTCATACTTCTTACATGCTTTTGTACTTGCACATTCACACACCACCCATTATACACTCACTCTCGCACACTCACTCCTTACACACTCACACACCATCCCTTACACACTCGCACACTTACCCCATAAAAACTCAGACACTGCCCCTTACAGATGCACACACTAATATGCTCACCCCTTACACACTCAGACACACATATTAAAGACCTGTACACACACTCACCCTTTACACACTCTTGCACTCACCCCACAAACACCCTTACACACTCACACACTTGCTTATTAGCACATTCACCCCTTACACACCCTCACATACACACTCACTCACCCCTTCACACATACACACACTCACCTCTGAACACTTACACACTCACCCCTCGCACACTAACACACACACTTTCACACACACACACTCACTCTTCACACACTCACACACACACTCTGATACACACACTGTCACTTACACAGAAACAAACTTTCACATGCACACTCACTCCTTACACACACATAAAATTTACCCCTTACACACACAAGTCATACACATTCACAGTCACACACAAACATACTCAAACATTTAGACATTACACACTCACAGGCACTCATGCCTTATACACTTACACACACCATTTACACATGCACATTGACACACACACATTTACACACACTCCTTACACACTCACATTCACGCCTTACACACACAATCGCAAACACATACACATCTGCTTACACACTGATATAGTCAAATGTGTAGACACATGCACGTGTGTGTGCACACACACACACTCACAACACGCGCTCTCTCTCTTCCTCACAACACACACTCTTTCTCTCCCTTACATGCACACGCACACACACTGACACACGCACATATTGTGGCACACACTCACACAGTGACACGCACACATGCACACAGTGACACACGCACACAGTGACACACACACACTGACACACGCACACAGCGACACACACACAGTGACACGCGCACACAGTGACACGCGTAAACAGTGACACACACACAGTGACACACGCACACAGTGACACGCGTAGTGACACACACAGTGACACGCACACAGTGACACACACACAGTGACACGCGCACACAGTGACACGCGCAAACAGTGACACACACACAGTGACTGACGCACACAGTGACACGCACACAGTGACACGCGCACACAGTGACACACACACAGTGACACGCACACAGTGACACACGCACACAGTGACACACGCAAACAGTGACACACACACAGTGACACACACACAGTGACACGCACACAGTGACACGCACACAGTGACACACACACAGTGACGCACACAGTGACACGCACACAGAGTGACACGCACACAGAGTGACACGCACACAGTGACGCGCGCACACAGTGACACACGCATACAGTGACGCGTGCATACAGTGACGCGCGCATACAGTGACGCGCGCACACAGTGACACGCGCACACAGTGACGCGCACATACAGTGACGCACACAGTGACACACACACACAGTGACGCACACACAGTGACACACGCACACACAGTGACACGCACACAGTGACACGCACACGCAGTGACGCGCACACAGTGACGCGCACACAGTGACGCGCACACAGTGACACGCACACAGTGACACGCACACAGTGACATGCGCACACAGTGACATGCGCACACAGTGACACACGCACACAGTGACACGCACACAGTGACACAC